GGAATGCATAAATACTGGGAGAGTATATGAAAGCTCACTCAGAAGAACTGGATTTAACAGCTCACAGATTCCAGATTCTTACACAAATACCAAAATTCTCAAGAAAAATCTTAAGAAAAGTCTCAGAAGGTAGAAACTGTGCTTTAAATGGGATGGCTTGTGACATGCTTATTTACTCTTTGTTGCTAGCTCGCTCAAGTCAAGCACCAAAGGTAATTAATAGCTATGCTGGACTAAAGAGAGAGGACATGGGGAGAAAAATCCTCTGCAGCCAAGAACTTGCAAAAATGGTGTTTTGTAACAGAGGAAACATAACGATGTAAAAATGAGTCTCCAAAACATTAAGCGAATTAAATGATCTGATGACCTAGTATTTTTAAAGACATTCTGTGAAAGCAAAGACAATGAACCTATGACTGTCAAGTTTTAAAGGTTCTGAAAGTAATGAACAACCCAACACACAAGATTTGGTTTAACATTAAGTATTAGCAATTCATGCCCTAGGTGAGATGGGGGACTTTGCAAGAGAAGCATTAAAATGCTAAACTTATAAAAAGAAAAAAGTAAAATTTCATTATCCAGCGGAGAGTCTTTTGTTAGCTACTTTCAAGAGGAAAAAGGTTGTGCTAGCATCTGAAGATTAACTAATATAAAGCCTATTGTGTATTCCTTGCACTTTATAAAGGAAGCAGAAAAGGCAGAAGCAATTAGAATACTGCAAGCACACACACGAAACACCAACCAACCAAAAAAGTGTTCAATACTTATATGGAATACTTCAAATTATGAAAGTTTCAGAACATCATTAGTATTTAGGAGCCAATACGCCATTTCAAGCTATCTGGCCCCTACAAATCCAAGCCATTTCTAAGTGCATTTCAGGCATCAAAATATGTTAGTTTGTTCCCTGTCTACATGTTTAGGTGCTTAGGTACTTCTTGAAGTTGGTCCCTAAATTAGGAAAGTGAATTCTGAAAATACAGTGAAGTTCCTATGCTACTGGAATACTCTGTAATACTTGTAATATGACCTTCCTTGGAGATACTAAAAAGCAGTCTAGACATGGTCCTGGCCAACTGGCCTCAGATGACCCTGCTTTAGCAGGGAGGCTGGATCAGATGACCTCCAGAGAGTACTTCCAACCCCAAGCATTCCATGATTCTGGACTTAACAGCACCACAACAACAACAGAAATTTCAGGTATGAAAAGGGAGAAACAAAAAATCCTATTACTTGCAGATTAAGAATTCAGACCCTATCCTCCCATTAATGCATGTAGCTTATTCAGTGCAGAACTTGAGTTCCACTCAAGAAACGCCAATGCATAAACTGTTCCAAAATCAAAGCCATCAACTGGAGCTGTTTTAGAAACATGAGGAGATATAATAAGGCATCTCTCTCTTTGTAAAGACAGTTTTTCTAGGTCATGTTAGTTCTGCTTTACAGTCAGCAGGTCTGAATATTCGTGATGCATTGAAACAAACTGTTGACTCCATTAAGAAAAAGGTATAACATCTGGCTCAACATAATTGGATCATCACCACATGTTCATATTTTTGTCTACCTTTTATTAAAGATGAAAAAGAAGACAAACTATAATTTAAGGAGCTAAAAATTAAGCTACTACATTTTGCTACAGAACTTTATTTCACACTGTCTTTACACCTACAGTAACAAGTGGTGGTTTTGAAATAATTATAAACATCATGCTTACATAGAAAGGCATACAGAAAAATAATAATGTATTGATACAAACCTGCAGCTTTTCATCAACATCATCATCACTTTCATCCAGATCTTCATGGAGTAACCGCCATTCATATTCTACATGAACATGAGAATTAAATCTTCCGGACAGTGCTTGAGTAAGCTATGGAAAAAAAAGATTACTGTTGACAGCTATGTTATGTGCAGCATTACATTTAAAACAACATGTTTAAAACCAAACAAAAACTACATACAGAAGTAAACTTGGCTTATAAATGCAAATATTACTTCTGTTTTAAAAAGAGATTTAAGTAATCTGGAAAGTTACTGCACTGGGGTAAGTTTCAATGATTAAGTTCTGTCAGCAAATACAACACAAATAAATTTAAATCAACTAGGCCTTTCATTAACCATTGTAGGTCCATTCTCTATTTTCTGGCATGCATCACATCTTATTTGCTTTGATTTAGGAAATGCAAGTTAATGGCTTTTTTTTTTTTTTAACTCAAGACTCATTTATAAAGAACTAGCTAATCCATTTTTTGCGTTTACTGAAAGTAGTGATGTGAGCCAGCTTTTCTTCATAGAATCACAGAATAGTTTGGATTGGAATGGACCTTTAAAGATCACCTAGTCCATGCCCCCCCTGCCATATCAGGGACATCTTCCACTAGATCACACTGCTCAAAGTCCCACCCAACCTAACACTGAACAGTTCCAGCGATGGAGCATCTACAACCTCTCTGGGCAACAAGAAAATGGCCTTCATCCATGGCCTTCACCCAAAAAACTGATTTAGTGGTAAGATTTCAGTGAGATGTCATAGAATTGTTCAGGTCAGAAAGGACCTTTCAGATCAAGTTCAAGCCTTAACCTAACACTGCCAAGTCCACCACTAAACCATGTCCATAATTACCACACCCACACAACTTTTAAATACCTAGAGGGATGGTGGCTCAACCACTTCCCTGGGCAGCCTGTTCCAATGCCTGATAACCCTTTCTGTGAATTTTTTTTTCCTAATATCCAACCTAAACACCTCACTTGAGGCCATTTCTTCCTTGCAATTGTTACCTGGGAGAAGAGACATGGCCCCACCTCACTACAACCTCCTTTCAGGTGTTTTACAGAGCAATGTGGTCTGTCATCAGCCTCCTTTTCTTGAGACTAAACAACGCCAGTTCCCTCAGCCAGCCCTCAAAGATGTATGCTCTAGACCCTTCCCCAGCTTTGTTGCCCTTTTCTGGGCTCACTTCAGCACCTCAATGTCCTTCTTCTAGTGAGGGGCCCAGAACAAAACACAGTATTTGAAGTGTGGCCTCATCAATACAGAGGAATGATCACTTCCCTACTCCTGCTGGCCACACTATTCCTGATGCAGGCCAGGATGCCATTGGTCTTCTTGGCCACCTGGGAACACTGCTGGCTCATATTCAACTGATGTTGAGCAGCACTCCCAGATCCTTCTCTGTCAGGCAGCCCTCCAGACACCTGTAGCATTGCATGGGTTTGTTGTGATCCAAGTGCAGGACCTGACACTTGGCCTTGTTGAACCTCATACAATTGGCCTCAGCCCATCGATCAAGCCTGTCCAGGTGCCTCTGTAAAGTCTTTCTACCCTCAAGCAGAATCAAAAAGAATCATCCCCCGGCCCCCAAAAGTTTAGCAGTTCCAAGGCATATAAAAAGAAATATAATTTTCTTCTTAAAAGCATATAACTTGACATAAGTATGTAACTATTTATAAGCATACAACTATACATTCTGTAATATATTAATTTAATATTTAACTGTAAACTGTCAACTATTCAGACAGGATTCTGCTTGTAAATGCACAAACACACAGAAAGATGCAACACTTACCAGCTCTTCACAGTGAGTATGTTTTAAACGTTTAGCTATATCAAGTGGTGTCTCTCCTGATTCATTAGCTAGATTATAGCGAGAAAAGAAAGTTGTGTCACTATTAATATGTCCATTACTAAAGATAAAGACAAACCTGCAGGTACATAGTAAATACTAGACCAACAGCTTCCAAAACTAATCTCTTTCCTTCATATGTAGGTTCAGCTCTGAACATGACGAGCAGTATCAACTCAACATACCATATATAGGGAATGATATTCATGAAGTAGCAGTTTATAACTAGGCAACAAGATACTAGTTACAACTCTTTGTACTTACTGATCTAAATATGTTTAAAAAACAAGTGTAATGGATAAGTCAATTTTAAACTTCAGATAAACAATGAATATTGATTTTTTAATAATTAAGATTATATTCACAGCATATAATACTGATGATAAACAATCAAGCAGGAAATGCACTTACTCCACCTTTCTTCTCTGAAGCAGTGACAAACATGAAATTGAAGTACACATTACCCTTTTACCTATTTCAATAGAAGCCTTCCCTCTCAGCAGCAGTTTGAGGCACTCAACGTTGTCCGTCAGGCAGCAATAATGCAGGGCTGTGCTACCTTTACATGTTTGCTTATCTAGATTGCCACTATTGGAGTACAAGAAAGAAGAGGAAAGCTGATTAAACTTTGTTTCCTACCTTATATTAATAAACCTCTTGAATTAGAAGATTTTTCAAAGTATAAAATTAATTTGGAAATACTAGATTTAGTTTTAGTATTTGCATTCATTTAGCATTTGCATTACTTGACATAAAAGCAGTATAAATAATATTTTAATAGCTTTCCATACACTTACCTATTCTGCACTAAAAAGTCAACTATATGAAGGGATGTTCGATCAACTGACCTCACAGCAAGGTGGAGTGCTGTTTCATCTTGCTCCTAGGAATAGAACAAAATAGCACATTTATTTCTGTTGATCTACAGATAAGCAGAAATTGTATTAAAACATAAATCAGATTAATTAAAACATACAAAATTTTCAGACATGTTACCATTAAAATACCTCTGTGAGATGTTAATTGCTTTCCTTATGTTCCTTTAAAGTAAAGAAACAAATGGGTTGAAAACAAATAGATTCTTCAATGATTTAATCACAGAATCTCACAATCTTGGGGGTTGGAAGGGACCTCGAGAGATCATCCAGTCCAACCCCCCTGCCAGAGCAGGGTCACCTACAGCACATCACACAGGAACTCATCCAGGTGGGTTTTGAATGTCTCCAGCCAAGGAGACTTCATAACCTTTCTGGGCAGCCTGTTCCAGTGCTCTGTCACTCTCACAGAAAATAAGCTTTTTCTCACCTTTATGTGGAACATCCTGTGTTCCAGTTTGCACTGCCCCTTGTCCTATCACTGGACATCACTGAAAAAAGCCTGGCTCTGTCCTCCTGACACTCGCCCTTAACATATTTGTAAACATGGATGAGGTCACCCCTCTCTCTCCTTTTTTCCAAGCTAAAGAGACCCAGCTCCCTCAGCCTTTCCTCATAAGGGAGATGTTCCACTCCCTTCATCATCTTTGTGGCTCTGTGCTGGACTCTCTCAAGCAGTTCCCTGTCCTTCTTGAACTGAGGGGCCCAGAACTGGACACAATACTCCACATGCAGCCTCACCAAGGCAGAATAGAGGGGGAGGAGAACCTCTCTTGACCTACTAACCACCCCCTTTCTAATGCACCCCAGGATGCCATTGGCCTTCTTGGCTACAAGGGCACATTGCTGGCTCATGGTCATCCTTCTGTCCACCAGGACCCCCAGGTCTCTTTCTCCTCCACTGCTCTACAAACATTTAAATACATTTAAAATATTATGGTATTTGGAAACAATGGTAGAGTATACTTCACTATCTATTGTTATTGTTAAATTACATCACTAAAAGTCGAGTATTCAGAACAGTATTTCAAATTTTATTTTCAAATAAGAAAAAACAGTCCTTTTTAAATCAATGAAAGCATATTGCCCTTTACAACAATTTTCTAATAAAATTTACAACACTTACATGGCCATTGGCCAGTGGAATTTTTTCTGTGAGATCCACACCATCAGCATATACTTGGACTAATCCAAGAATGTCTCTTGATTTGACTGCTTCACAAAGAGCATGTAATTTAGCTGCATTGTCAGCATGCTTTTTCCTTGCATATTTTCTCTCAATATACTTGGCAGTAATGTAATCTTTTCTTGCATTCCTGAAATTGAATATAATTTACTTGTATAATGTTTAGCAGAAGACACACATTTCCACAAATACATGAAAGTAATTTGAAACAAAATCTGAGGAAAACTATTTATCATTCACTGTGGTAATTTTTCTTCTTAAGTACGCATAGAAGATTGTATTTCCAGTATAAAATGTAGCTATAGAAGATGAATCAAGTACACAATATGAAGACAGACCATGAATTTTACACTCTGAACTCTGGGGTGAAGTTGAGATTAAGATTACCCAGCTCTAGGCACAGAAGATACACCAGAGCTTCATAATGCTGGTTTGGTAACAGCAGCTTGTCAGGTTTATGTTTACCTGACTTGTACTCCTACACATGCTGGAAAGGGATGGAAGGCATGAGATACAAAAATTTGTCTTATACCTCTGCACAGACTATCCTGGCCTTGGATCTGTACTCACAGCAGTGAGCATGTTCTGTAAAGCAGTTCTTCACCACAAATATAGCAGGGAGGATGTAGTGGAGTTTCTAGTTTTGCCTCTAAACTGAGGTGCAAACTTATTACCCTTGATTCAGCACACATTATCACTTTTGTTGTTGATAGCCAACTAACTAATGACTAGTGCTCTTCCCATCACAGCAAGACAGGAGCTTGAACACCTCCCAAAGGCACCACTCCTCACCAGCTCTTGGGATGTACACAACATGGCACAGAAGACATGTAGTAAAGCCATACTTTAGATACTAGGAAATGGGGAAAAAAAAAATCCAAATAATAATTAAGGGAATCAATGGATAGCTTCTGTTGCTAAAGCATATGGCAGTATTCCTTCATTATTTTTAGGAAGTGTTTTGCTTCAAGTTCCCATTTCATTAAAAAAAAAAATAATTGGTATGCAGAGATATCAAACTAAATTATTTTTTTTAAATATAATTTTTACAAGTATTCATATGCTATTGATTTAGAATCTGGCCAACTTAATATAATTCCAATTATTAATAATTGTATTCTGCATTATTATTAACAGTGGTAGTAAAAAATAATTTAAACAATTTGGTTTAACATTAACTCTGTCAGAATGATGGAAGTTCACATTATGTAAAATCAAAAGCCAATTCTTCTGGGTTTGTTTCTGTATCATTTACAAACTCTTTTAAGATGAAGTAGTACCCAGCCAAGCAGGCAGCTGTCCTTGCTGTGTCTTTGCTGTTGCAGTTCAGTGTTTTTGAGGAATTCAATTAAATGTTCTGTCTTTATTCCATGTACTTACAGCCTTAATTCCTAGGTGTAGTTTCTAAACAATGGGTGTTCAGCATCTTTCAAGTAAAATGTTTTATGTCACGTTTAAATGGCACAAAATTAATAACTTTGTTTTTAATCTCTACTTTTGCATGCTTTTAAAATTCCCAAGTCAAGTTTCATCTGTTTCTGTCCTACAAAGGATTCAGAGCGTTAGTAAAACAATCCTTATATTAGGGAAGGTACAATCAGATAAAGTTCAATAAAACAAATATGCAAAGCATCAGAAAAAAGGTGTACTCCTTGGCTATGAGGCTATACAAGACATAATACATCTTCCATGGCCTGCTAGTGCCAACCATGATGGTGCAACCCATTAGTAATATTAAACTAAATGCCTGCCACTAAAACATAGTTGCTTTTTACTTACATATCACTGCCCGGATTAGGTTTGACCATCTCATCAGCTGGCAGACAGAATTCCATAATCTCATTAAACCCAGCATTCCCAATATTCTTTGCAAGCTGATTAAAAAAAATAAAATTCACAACTCACTTAGTAAAAATGTTCAGTTACTGGCTATACACATCCTAGTGGGAGGGACGGGAACATGGGAGCTGGGACTTTTTATTTCTGACTCGTAGTTCTGCTGTTTCAGTGTTCATGAACAGATTAGGTATCCTTTTGGGTGTCAATTTTCATCTGCAATTTATTACACAATAAGTAACTCCAGAATAATCCATCAAAACACCAGCTCATACAATAAACACTGAATACTTTCTGCTGGCTAGGAACACATACATACAAACCGTCACAGAGCAGCTGATAAGTGGTAACATCTTTGTGTAGTAAAGCAGAATACATTTACTTCCTTTAAGGATTAAAGTTCTTTTATAAAATACAGCTAAATAATTAATGGGATAAGTATTTGTGAAGTCCTTCAATTTTTAAACTGAGAGGCACATCCATATGTCAAACAGCTGTGGTCATCTAAAAAGCAATCAAGTGTAAAAAGACACGGAAAAACAAAAAAAATATGAAGCCTCTCCTAATTTGAATTCTAGGATCAGGCAAAGTGTTCTGTAAGCCTCTGTGTTCAGGAGGTTTCCTTAAACTTGAAGAATTAACCTTTCTTAAATTATATTTGTCCAGAGGCAACTTCCAAGATTGCAACAACAGATTGTTAAAATGACAAAAAATATACTTCTGTTGCCAGGTTCTTATAGTACTATTTTTAAGTCGATAAAAGCAATTTGTTTACCAGAAGTTCGGATGTTCCCAGCACATCTAATGTAAGTGACTGCATTCGGGAATAGTGAACACCGAGTTCTCTATGGATTCCTGAGCATTCAATGCAAGTTAGAATTCCCAAATTTGTTGAAAGCCAGGTAGGATCTGAAAACAAAAAGTACCCACAGAATTAAAATTTATTCAGGTAATTATTTCATTCTAGAAAATGTTCCTGTATGTGAATTATCAGGATTTTAAAAAATTTATGTCTTTGCATTTATTCTGTTGGGAAACACAAACTAGGAACTTTTAATGGCAGAAGTGAAGATGCAGAATTTTTTATTATTACTATTTAATTTATTGTTCTTAAAGAACACGGACCTCCAAGGGAGCTACTCAAACAATTCAGTTTGTCATTCTCCACATGTTTTCTTGAATTGTATTTTTACCACCATCAATATAATGATGTGACATTCTCAACTGGAGGCATTGGTGCAAGTCAAACTGAATTAACAATGCCTACAGGTTTTGGTGAGGATTTTTATGTCAAGTATAAACTTCAGACTAAATGAAGCAGCAGGGTTTCTGAAGTATATACACAGTACCACACTGTAAGGGATTCTCACTAAACTATTTCAAAGATATTAAGCCTCATTCCTCTCCTTTCATTGCCCTTACTTGTCTTTTTTCCTAGTGTCTTGCAGTTTACTATAACATTCCCTCATCCTCCAGAGAAATTATTAATTTCTGAAGATTTTGTCAGTTTAGAAATAATTTTATTTGATAAAGGTTTTCTAATAGCTACTTAGAATCTCCTCCTTTAAAGACAGTAGGATTGACTCTTCCCATAGCTTTATACAGTGTCTATTGCTGGAACTATTGATTTATAAAGTTCATACAACTTCAGATCTGACATTTCCAGCTACAGTTTAATATAGAAAAAAACCTCTGCATCCTGCAGTGCATCTGTAATATTACAGAGCACAGGAAACAGAAGGATTTAAAAAATAATTTTAAGATTAAAGTACAAAATAATCGATCAACAAAACCAAACTGCAAACCATAGTCAGCAGGCACATTCTTTTCCAAGTAAGCAGCATTAGACATATTCCCTGGCTCACCCTCCAAGTCAAACATATAAAATAAAAATAAAAAAGACAAAAAGAAAACGGGTGTATTAGGAAAATGCTTGAAGCATCTTACTGCTGTCCAGTTTTACCTAAAACTTTTATCTGAATATATGGACTAATAAAATAAGATCAACTGATTTATATTAAAAAAATATACAATTATCAAAATACATGGGAAGAAAAAAAGCTTCTGACTATGTGCATATAGCAAATCAGTCTTACTAAAGTAGCACAATTAAGTTGTTAGCCTGTTCTACTGTGTGTAATCTTTGCGAGATAAGGAGTAAAACTGAAAGCATAAAACATCAGCTTAAATACTCTCATGATACACAGAATTTTTACCAACTAGAAATACGTTTAATTGGGTCACCTTGTGCTCCACAGTCACAACACACATCATTTCCAGTCATCCTCTGGACTTCAGATATAATTTCTTTTGTCAGTTCCTGGACAATATTATTTTCTCCTGTGTTATCATCTCCTTTGAATGCATTATTTAAAGCTTCCTCTTTGCTGTTTTGTAGCACAGATGTCCATCTAAAATGGCAGTAATATTTTGCTATTAAATATTTTGGCACTTCCAAAGGTTAAGGTAATGTCTCAGCAGAATATCAGTATCAGAAATAAAATTCGGAAAGTAACTCACATTTGACATTCCTGTTCATCCTCTGCTTGGAAGTGGTATGTCCTGTCGTCTGCACAATAAATAATTCACATACTGATTAAAAAATGTTTGAAAAACAGATCTTGCAGAAGTCTCTCAGAAAATCCTAAGGTTAATTGACGTATGACTCCTGAGGTCTCTAGTCTCATTAATGGATGGTTGGCAGGCAAAAAGACTATTTAGCAAGTTTCACTCACACTACTTACAGCTCAGCTACATTTATACCTCTATTTACACCAGATGACTTGTTGTTCTTTAAAGAGAAACTGTTTTCTTCAGTATTGTGCTTCTATCAACACAAGCAGCAGGAGAACATACTGATTTTTCCATGTTCTAGAGACAACCTCAGCAATCTCAAGTCTAAAGTTCTGCTGGGGGTAGTGGTGTGACTAAAATACAGAGTCTGTGTTTGGGTTTATCTGTATATATAAGACTAAAAGTTTCCAAATGAGCTCTTGAAACCACAGTAAGAAAAAATGACAAAAGAAATTTGACAGACACAATGTCCAAACTACAACCAGAACAAGCTCCAAGCTGTTTTAATCAAATGAAGCTAAAAATTTGCATTTACCACTACTTTTGTAATTCTAAGCATTGTTATCACAGTGAGCTATTAAAGAAAAAAGCATAATACACAAGAAACAAGTGAGATATGACACAGTTTGGTGATTGAGCTAGAGTTAAAATTAGTATAGTTGATGAGAAAAACAGAGGTAAAGCTACTGGCAAAAAGATACTCTAGGTTGAAAATTCCTAAAGTTTGGAAAATATTCAGGCAAAAATATATTAAAAATGGTCTAAACAATGACATTGTTAAGATACATGGAAGGACAGAAAGGGAAGTGTCAGATAAAGTGTAAGAGTTTTTATCTTGTCATGATACAGCAATTTGCATTTTTTAAAAATCAAGGAATAATTAAAACTCTATGGTAAAACAAAGCGAAAAAGTGAGCTGGAATCAGCTAAAAGGCCAGTTATGCCTTGTCATGTGTGTGATAGGACAAATGACAACACTGTGATAAGCTGATATTGGGCAACATGTGACATGGAAACCAACAAAGTAACTGCAAAAGTAAACAGGGAAGATCACTTGCTTGTGCAGAAATGGAAAAGCTGTATATTGCATACATGACTACAAGTCTATTGACACAAGAAGCATATCTTACATTTACAAACTGAAAATAACTTTATTCTCTGACAAAGGAACAAATGAGATTTATATTCTCCTTTCCAAATAATTTGAGATATATATTTTAATAATGTATTTTTATGGACCCCAGAGATATGATACTAAAATGTCCCAGTGAGAAAACAAAAGAAGCATTTCTACTACACAATTCATCTCCCAAAATTATTCAGTTTTGGTGATTTTAATATGTAGACTCTTTATCTCACCGTCATATCTACTGTGAGATAACAAAACCACAAAAGTTTTCAGTATTTTCTTCACAGTAACACAGCAACCACCATGATTAAAGTTTAAGAAGTTTTGACCTGTTTTAAAAGGTTCTTCTGATCTTGTACAAAAGTTGTAACTTTCCAAGATGATCAGCTATGACATTTTCAATAAAAAAATAGTGATGTCACAGCAAGAATACTGTTATTCTATTGTAAGGGAGCACAAAATTATATAGCATGAAGGAAAAAAGAAAGCTTTAAAAACAAGTGGTTTTCCAAAGAAACAGGTACAGTTAGTGGTATTATACTAAAATAAGTGAAATGGTAAATTATCAAAGGAAGGGCATTTTATAGAGGGAAGCATTTTACAGCTGCAATAATGTTTAAGTGGATTATTGACACATTTACAGAAATAATGCAAAATCCTTTTATATTTGGTGCAAGTAAAAAGACCTAAACAACAAACCTACGTGATATGAGGTCAAAACATTTTTTCTCCTCTGGGTTTGTTTTCACTTGGCAGGTTAACAGATTGAGCTTTGCTGGAGGTCGGTTTGCCTATTTGAAGACAAAGCATATACATTTTAATATACTAATACTGACTGAAACCTGCAGTTCAAAACCAGAATAACATCCCACTGCCCAAAAAGACTTGAAAATGGCTGTTAATTTAATTTTCAAGGTACTCAGCTTTTTACTTACGTTTTCTTCTGCATTGTGGTTTGTAAACTACATTTTCTTATTTTTGGCTATTTTGGTCACTGATAACTGCATAGACAGTAGAATTTTGAAAGGGGAGAGAGGTAAAATCACTTTAGTATCACTACTCTGATCACCTTGCCAGTAACACTTACATGAAAGAATGAGTTATGACAGAGAGACAGATTAAGTTTATGTAATTTTAATCCTCTAACATGTAGAAAGTTTTTAAAAATTAGCTTTCTAGGTTTTCAAAAATCAAAAAATTTGACTCCTCTTAACGTCTTTAAAAAGAGCCTAGATAGCCAATTTTTAACAAAAGCTCAATTTTTAAGTCTCTAAAGGGACACACTGAAGGAAAATAAGTTGGCGCAGAGTAGTCTTGCAATGAACATATGCAAAACTAAACTGAGATCTTTCATTACCGAAAAATGTAGTGAAACAAAATATGTTCTACAATTAAATCCATTTTCTAGTCAAGATCCTCTCAGCTATTTCAGTTCCTTATTAAATAATAAGTAGCGATATTTTGCTAAAAGCAAAATGCACAAGCAAACCTCATTTTTAAGAAGCCTCATAAAGGCTACAAAGACACTTCAAACAGCATCACTGTGCTGATCTCTTCTTTCCCTCAACCCACCTGCCCTACAGACCCAAGGTAGCACCTAATGAGACATCATGTTTGCTACCCTGACTTGAAGAATGGCTTGCACTTGCTATAGTAGATAACTAGTTTCACTTTTTGTTTAGAATAATTACATGAGAAAGAAGTTAACTGCAGAGACTATGTTCTAGACTATACTATCAGAAAACTAACAATTTTGAAATAACATTAGTTAAGTACTATTATAAAGATAGTAATATACATAAACCACACTTCATGTTGCATTCTAACAATTTTAATCTATCAAGCTGCTAAAAGATTTCATCATCTAAAGAAGAACTATTATCAAATGAAACTGAACTACCACATAACATAATTAACTTGCAGTGAATCTTAAGGAACTTCCATCTTCTCAAACTCTTCTAAAATGTATTGATTAAAATATTTCATTCAAAAAGAAGGAAGAACAAGTCTGAAGAATACAGATTTCCTTGAAACAATCTCCTAAAACAGTATGGCTGGCCAAAAAAGAACACTATCATCATTATGTCTGAAGACCAGTAAAAAAACAAAACCATTGAGAAACATAAGAAAGGAAACAATTACATGAGTTTTTTTCCTGTTAAAAGGAAAAAAAAGAAGCATGGTGTCCTTGAAAAACAGCATGCTCATGCTTTGCCCAATATAAGTAAGCAGCAGATATAACCAAGTCATGCATGCTTTGAAACAACAAACCTGCAGGTCTCCTGCTGGGCACTGTAAAACAAATTGTACCCAAGAGAGCTTTTGGAGGCAGCGAGATGACAATTAATTGACAACCACATTGTATTCTCTGTCTAGTAAATAGCTTTCCAAATTCCAGACATTCCTTTTCGTAGTAAAAGTGCATACAGTTTTCATTATTTTAGCCTATCAACAAAAAAGAGTTCTTTGTAACTAGAAGCATACAAGAACACAACTTAAAAATGCCAGCTTGGGCCCATTTTCTTGGTTATATTTAAATACACTTAATACCCATAGCAGTAAAGTTTCTAGTGTTTTATTTTTAATGTGATGGTTTGTCCAAGAAGTGTCCAGAGATGGATAAAAATACAAAGTAATGCAAACAAAAATAAAAACATACACATCTGGTAAACAAGCCACTGGGCAACCCATGTATACCCTTCCCAGAGGCTCTAGAAAAATGTAAAAATGCAAGGGAGTTCAAGTTAAGAGAGAATCTGCTTGACTTTGGGTGTGATGTGCATTCAGGACCCAACTAGTTTTCTATAATTTATGAAGCTGTAAATGGATCCACTAAAATGCTTCAGAGAGGTCTGAAGGACCAGTATACACAGAAGTAGTCTCTCTGGACAGGAGAATGCAGCATAAGAACTCTACATCAGGATATGAGAACCCAAGGAAATGGCTGCAAAAACCTAAAACACATCCTGTGCCAATCTTGGAATCCAAACTTATTCTAAAGTTTTTAAGTGAGGGTCTCCTACCTTGAAGTCAGCAATAACAAATGTATTACAAAACCCTGACATCTTTGCATGTGGCTGATACCACCACCTCCATGCTTTTATCCTGTGGCTGAGTTACAGTGGCTCCCCAACATGCTCCCCAACATGTGTCCTTCACTTGGCAGACAACACTTCTGTTGTACAACAGATGCTGCTTGGGGAGAAGTTAGAGCCTCAAGGCAAAGGGAGACAAGGCTCTATAAAAACCTCTGGGTTTCATTTTCCTGCTTGGGACTCCAATTAGACAATTACATTTCAGACTACAAGTGAATTTATGGACATCCACATTAACATAAAAACACCCTGAAAAAATGTGCTGCCACCACACATGCAGACTTCAGCAGTAACTTGTATTTCTTCCTGGAGAATTTGTAATGCTCTACCCAAGAAAACTGACTTCTTGTATGTTCTGGCTACAAACAGTAAGTGTAAGAATCAAGTGTAAGAATCTCAGGCCTCTAAGACAATACCAAGGAGTGCCATGATCCAGAGATGACCTTTACAAAAGGCACAAGCAAGCGTGTCCACTTATTGAACAGACTGGTTAGTTGATCTCATCGTGCACTTCTTCTGGATATCACGGTGATGTACTTTAGAATCAAAAGACTTAATCAGGTTCTTTTGCCTTCAGATCACTCTGTTAATCCTGATGATAGATTAAAGTTTCCAGCAGTAAAGAAATAATAACAAAAAGGTTCATTGATAATGAGTCTCTCTTGTACGTCTTTTTTGCAGACAACCAGCAAATTCCATTTAAGCTCTTTGAACACAAAACAACTTTGAGAAATCTGAAGCTCCTTAAATCTAAGTTTTTCACTTGGGACTTTTTGATCTGGAAACTATTTAGGAATTCCCATTTACATGGCTCAATCTGCTTCTGTCATTGTTTTTTCATCCATGTACGTTAAGTTGCTGTCAGGTAGACAGAAAATTTCCAACTGCTAATAATTACAGGAACAAGCAGTGTCTGTTTTTCCATCAGCCATTATCTTGTACATTGCTCTATGAATGCTAATTTATTTGAAGCTTCTAGTTGTCTAAAAGTACAACTTCTGCACATATGCCAATGCAGACGTATATTCAGTGTTACAGCTGGGTGACTGACAGAGAACCAACCATACTCTCCTAATCCATATCAGGAGAGCATTTGGCAGGTGCGTTTAAGTCAGAATACAGGATCTGCACCTTCCTGCAAACAGCTGTTCCAGAAACTATCTGAAAAAACAGACCCCCATAAAGAGAGGCTACATGACCAAAAGACAGAAATACATGACAAATACTTAGCCTTTAAAGGAAAAACATTTACAAATGTGTATTTGATAAAGCAAACAAAACTGACAACCAAATTTCAGAGTTATAGTTCATTTCAAGGAACAGCTGAGAAGACAGAATGGCACTTTATATTTTAGAGGCCAGGAGGTATCAGCCCTGAGAAAGCTTGGAAATCAATGTTGTTGATTCAGAAGTCTCAGAAGCCATTCACAGCAGCCTAGAAAATTCTTAACAAACAGAAATCACTTCTACCCATTTCATTGCCTATGAAACAAGCATTAATTTTTTAGACAAAACTGCCATCAATACTTAAAAAGTGAAAAAATAAACAAAACCACTTTTTTAGGAGTGTATTTTAAAAAAAGAAGGTACTCTCTTGATTTTGTAATATAAAAAGATCAAGACCGAACTTGTGAAACCCACATATCCAAATTAACATTTAAGTATCTACCTCAGCAACTGACTTCCAGCTGCAGCTCTACTGATTTCATTGGAACTTGCCGCTTCTAAAAATGTGGGACCATCTGGCAGACAGCTTATAAAAAGAGAACAACAACAGTATCTTGATAGACTCAATAACTGTACTTGCTTGTGAAACTTCTAGAATTCTGCTCCACAAGTGGATTTTGTAGCCTCTGCCCACTCTGAGCTGCCCAAGCTACACCCTAGTGGTACCACTACTGCATGTCCAATGCCAAGCACATGTACAGCACATGGAGACACCAATACAGAAACACTAGTAGACTTTTCTGACAAAGACATGCTTATACACACTCAAATGAGAACAGAGACAAATTGGTGGACAATTCCAAAGCCATAATAATGACTCTGCTTTGCAGGCCTGGGCTTGCATTCCTCCTTAACTCCTGATTTTCAAATTTAGAAGGCAACAGCTTGCAATTAGATGCACAAATGAGAGATTGATTCATTTTTGCTGCCAGGGTCAACTTGTAGTCATAGCAACAGGCATAACAGGATGAAGAACAGAACAGTTCATAACAGGATCAAGCAACAGGACTGTTTATTAGCCCAAGAATGGGAAATACTTTCACTGAGTTGATTTTTGCCTTAAACTTCCTTAAAAGTTTTGAGAAAGCAATATAAAAAAAGAGAAAAGTTACGGGAAAAGAAAAACAGCTGAGTTCAAAGCCAAGAGTAGAAGGTGCAAAATATGGCAGTAGAAAGTTTTAAAACTTCAAGTATAAATATTAACATTTTGTTAACGTGTTTCAAATATTGGTGGCAAAGAAAGAGGGACTTTTAACTCTCTCTCTTGGAATTCTGGTAGTAGTTGCCTTCAAGGCTGATTTTCTCCAACAGCTACTCCCCAGGAAAGCTACCTTCATACCAGATTACCATATAGCAGCAAATCTGGAGGAGAGAAAAGATTCAGGACTCTCTCAGCTCATCTTAGAAATATAAAAAGTTGCTTAACACATATGTAAAAGATGGCTTAACGCCCAACCATGTCTTTCAAAAAGAAAAACTTACAATTTGTATAGTTTTAGATAGTCTGGTTAAGTATGAACAGTTTACGTGAACTAAATGAATCATTAAAAAAACCATTTTTTCCCCATTAACAGTCATGAACATTAAAACAGTTGTATTTTTAGCTACTCTGTATCTCTTGATATATTTCTGAAAGACTGCCTTAAAAAATGTATCCATCATATTCAAAATGCTGCACCAGAAACCAAACTAATTCCAAATTATAAATATAGACCAGCATAGTTTGCCTTTTTGTATTAGCAACCATATACAGAAAATACTGTAAACAAATACTTACTGTACCATGGGAAATTGTAAGAAAACCATTTTTAACTGAGCACTTCCTTTTCTGCCACACTTTTCTGATTCTGGTTTGAAGGGGGGGAAAAAAAAAGTGACTCAGTTTTTCATATATTTAATATTACATTGTTTCAGCTCTTAAGACATAATTATTTATTTTTTCAGTAGAATCCAGGAGTACTTACCCATCACTTTTCTTGTACAGACTACCATTTCGTTCAGTGCCGTGCTCCTTGTTTCCCTGAGGCTGATGTAAACTATAAGCTGTACTCTGACGAATCTGAGATTCCTGAAATATACAGAACAGAAATTTGTAATGCATTCCACACTTTCAACCAAAACATCCCCCCTACTAATGAGGTTCAGAGGCTTTCCTTCCTGCTCTAATCCTACAGGCCAAAGAAGCACATTTTTCCTCCTCAATGAGAAAGAATCAGATCCATTTCTTTCATCAGAGGGCACAAAAAACGTTTGAGGAGTAGCCATTATCAGCTCTTGCCAAAATTCTTTTATGTCCTTTCTTTAAGCTTTACTGTTGGACTTTATATATAACTTTTTAACCCAAAAATTAATTGAACAGTGGACTTTCCAACTCATGCAAACACTGAAATGTGCAAACAATAAAGGTTATTATTACCTGCAATTCCTAGTGCACCCTTTCACTGTAAAAAAATTACAAGCATAAACTTCAAATGGTTTTGCGTGTGAAAACTGAGTCAAGCCATTCTTTGAAAAGCAGAAGAGACCTCCAGGGAACACAGTTCAGGAGGCATACAGGAAAACACAGAAGTTATTTGTGAAGAAATAATAATTTAAACCAAAGTATCTTGAACAAAGTAGAATCCTGGGAGAGGAAGTGACACAAGGATTAACTAAACCCTTCACACTGCTTTCAGAACTACCCAGAGGCAGGACCCACTGATACAAGAGTACAACTTCTTAAAAAAGAACATGATAAAGAAGAATCTGATGTGTCATGCTGTATTAGCAGCAGTAACACAATGTTATGGATTTTTCAGTGCATACAGTAACAGTGACTAGTACTTATGATATTTCTTGCTTTCTTCTCTATGATCTTTCCTCCATGGATGTAGTAACATCTCTGTTATATAACAGCGGTACAGCAAGGAACAAAAAAAAAAAACAAACACAAAGAAAACAGCTCATTGAAATTACTATTTATCTGAGCTATCAATAAGCTAAACCCTAAGAGCCATTAAGCCTCCATGGATAGTAACAACTCTTTTATTATACAACGGTACAACAAGGAACAAAAAAAAAAAAAAACAAACACAAAGAAAACAGCTCATTGAAATTACTATTTATCTGAGCTATCAATAAGCTAAACCCTAAGAGCCATTAAGATATAATTTGATTTAAAAATCTCATTTGCTAAAAACATGAGATAGTGTGCCTCAGATATACTATTTTGGATCTTCTAAGTGTGCACATGGTAAAATAAAATAATCTTCAGAGTATGAATTAAGAAGATAGTTTCTCTCTAATTATAATTAGCTTCATACACTTCATTATAAGTACAAGACATCTCTGGTTATAAGCAGGATAAAAAGACCAACAAAAAATCAGGAGCACTGTTGGACTGTCCTTTTCCCCAGAGAATGCCAGATCAGATGGAATGAATGCCTGTTTACAGGTTGCAGCAGCACATTCTGCTACCAGAGCTACTAATGCAGCCAAAGCTATTCAGGACCCTTCTCAACTGTAGTGACACACTACAAGTCCAAAATACTGTAGGGACAGAGCTACCACAGTCAGTGCACTTAGGACTCCACACTTCCAGGCTGCAGGATTTCAGGCTCATCGCAGTGCTGGACCTAAGTGGTCCTGAGAACCATGAGCTGAGCTGAAGGCAAGGCTGCAGTACTCCTTGGTGGTCCCTTACAGCAAAAGCAACCTGTGCCCACTTCCCTGTCACTCAGACAATGATCCAGGAAGCTGAACAGGTAGCTACAACATTCACCTGAGGATTTTAAAGTCACTACAAAACCATCAGTTAAAAGTCCTTGCCCGACAAAGCATCCCTTCATATTTAAATGAGTGTGCTTATCATTCCTCTTCAGCCTGTTTACACGGAATTACTTGGTTTTGCACTCTGGCTGTCCACTAGAAAAACAGAACAACATTTAAAAAGAATTTCTCCTCACTGATTAAGAAGTGCTGCATAACTTCTGAAGAAAATCTGATCTGACACTACCTGTTGTGTCCTACCAATGTCTTGATCTCTGCCTCCCATTAGTCAGTAAAGAAAATCTATTCCCAAGATTAAAGGCCTTAGAGGAATTTAATTTCAGTTCTCCATGTCGTCAATCACGTAAAGACTTCAGGTGACCTCCAACACCTGCCCATAGCACTATTCCCATTACTTCAGACTGTGTTGCTAGTTTTTGTGGAATATTTTCTGCTGCATTTCATCTACCTCCCTTCAGCTGTTGTTTACGCTCAGCTGCTGTGTTTGGCCAAACTGGCAGGCCAATAATACAAGCTTCCTGCCTTATTTCAACCAGAGAGGAAGCTGCTGTAACTAACGTGTATTTCCACACATTCATTATTATGAACAGTATCTTTAAAATATTTAATAGTATTTCATGAAAGGGAATTGAGAACCAGACAAGGAGATTTTCAACTTTAAAATCCCATTTCAGGCTGTGCCCATGTCAAGTGTCTGTCCAACGTGATTGCCAGATGATGGTTTTCCACAGCTCTCTGATGAGCAAGTTCATGATTTCCATCTAGCTCCTAACAGACAGGATGCCATACCACAAATCACCATCACAATTAACATCCTTCCGGGCAATTTCAGCATGCCTTTTCCATATGCAGGCTCCCCAAAGGATCTTCCCTTATTTGTGGTTTGCATATTGCACACAACAGGATTAGAAATCACAGATAACAGGGTCAGACTCAATGGCCTCATTGGAGGAGCAGGAACAATATATATTAGCTATGGGAGGAAATGGATCCCTGCAGGATATAGGACATACCAAGCTCGGAGTATTTTGTCATAACAAGAACAGAACACACTGAAGTACACAAGCCTAAGAAACTGAACTTTGTCCACTTTATCAGCTTTGAAATGCAGATAGGCATACAAAAGAAATAAGTGAGTCATTTAATTGCAGCATGTTTATAGTGAACCACTTCACTGACCATAAAGAGGTTTGAAATTATTTCTTCTAAAGACTGACTGACATGTAAATCAAGCAGAATAGCATAGTTACAAATGAAAGAAATGTGCAAACCATATTCTGTAAAGATAGTCTGTGACTACTGATAAGAAAGGTTCTAAAAACTTGTTAATCAGCTCCACTATTTGAACAAAACAGAACTTTCCATACAAGGTGTTTTAACCTATATTCAGCAAATTTTGGCTGGCCATTCTACAACTCACATGAAGCAGGATTTTAGACTGTCTGGCTCACTCTTGTGCTTACAGCTGCCAAAAAGCCCTTACAACTTTCCAAGGGCCTGAGCTTCTGTTGCACCTAGACAAACACTGCCACAAATACATTTCAGAGATCCACCCCTTATCTATTAAAGCTCCACAGAGGCTCCAACAGATGTATCTGCCAGAACCCCTGGCAGGCAGCCTCTCGTATGGCACAGCTATCATTTTTGTCCAAAACTACAAAATGTACACTGTTTAGCAGTGGCCTGAACTGATGATAGCTGTAGAGGAAGCAGAAGCTAATCTAACCTACTACAGTAAGGCTACCCTCAAAGATGATGCTGGAAAGAGAGGAATAAAGGCAATACAACTTTGATGTTAACCCCAAAACTTGTAGGAGCTCTACTGTTTGCAAAATAAACATTTAAAAATTAAAATTTATGAAGGAGTGCACACAATGATGTTTCAAAATGAAGTTTCAATACAAACCAGGTTTGAGAAAAGTCTGTGAAGGAGAAAACTATACATACAGGCAAAAAAAAAAAAAAGGTTCAGTATGAGTGTTTGTGTCTTTTTGTTTTTTTAAATACAACAGAAACAATATTTGTTAACATTCTATTATTTCATATATAAGTCCATTTTAATTAAAAATAGATATATCTTAAAAATCTTGCAAGAACATAACATCAAGCAACTGGATTTAATTCCCCAAAGAAAGTGAAATCACCAATTTCTCTTACAGCAATTTTACTTCCCAAGAACAATCTAAGAACTTTTTTTCTTTCTTTTCGTAATGCAACAAATAGAAGAGAAAAAAAAAGAACCAGTCTTTTCATACCAACAGAAAAAAGCTCAGAGGAAAAATCCAGTTTCTTGAAATCTGAATGGAAATCATGCCAACTATTTTCATTAAAACATAGTAACACTTACTCTCCTAGACTTCGGTCACAAAATGTAAATGCATTTCAGGAAGGAAAAAAGAATAAATCAGTTATAGTAAAGGAAATTACAGTGCAACAAGAATAATATTAGTGCGTTGTACAATAAATTATACCAGGATTGTTTGGCATCCCACAGACTAACTGATGTCTTCAAAAAACTTTAAAAATGAAATTATAGCACTTCTCATGCTCTGCAAGTAAGCATCTATATCTAAATTTGAATTAAAAAATATTAATATAGCATAAAGCACTTAAAAAACTTATAAATTGTTGTAGTTTTGTTGTATTTTAAATACAATAAAAGTAGATAATGTGTATTATTACATTTTTCAGTCTTTGAAAAGATGTATGCTCACCACATCTTCCATACACATTTAATATCAGCACCACTGATAAACAGGTAAACATAGAAAAGCAACATTACCAGTAACCATGAACTCTAAACTGCTTCTACTATGTCTCCTTAATAAAGATCTGAATAAAACTGGAAGCCTGCTAACAGACGCTAAGCAGCAAAGCCTCCTTATTGGGAGTGAGCAGTCAATGCTGAATCCAAACTAGACACTGTATCCAACAGAATGACTAGTCCTTCCTTCCACAGAGCTCAAATTAGCAAATTTTTAGCAAATGCACCCCTCAGTGAGTCCTAAATATGAGTCAGAATCTAAGAAAGTGCCTGCAAAGTGTATGGAACTTTGTATATAATGTTCCATTATCAAAAAAGTCACATTGTAACAATGAACAGCTCAAAGTGAAGAGTGTTTAAGGCCATTTCAATGCCTACCAGCAAGTTATAGAATAACTAGTCAGAAAGGACCTTAAAGATCACCTAATCCAAACCCTGAGCAATTGCCAGGGACATCTTTCACTAGATTAGGTTGTTCAACAACCATCATCTGACCACCAGAACTTGGAGTCACCAGAGCCTGTACAGGAAGATGAAAGGAATACCAGAAAAAGATCAAGGAAGTCTGAGCTCTACAGACTAAACTATTTCATTGTGATCCCTCTCAGTAAGAGAATCTGAAAAGGAGGCAGGCGGCTCATTCATCACTTACTCATGGCCCAGCAGCCAGGCAAAGGAAGCTGGCTGGCATTTATTTATATGAAGAGGAAGCACGCAATCTGAAACAAAAGTAGACTCAATATTTAGGACTAGATTATACACAAAATGCTTGCTTCCAATTCAGTTTGTCAAACAAAACTACTCCAGAATTCTTTAAATCTAACAGCAATCACAACTGAAACTCAATAAACACCTTGCTAGATTGCAAAACTGACCCAGCATGTTTGAAAACTGGCACCTTGCAGCAGAGTAGCAAACTTAATTGTCATTTTTTGCAGATGACACAAGAGGTGGGTTTTGATTTGAAGTTTTACATAATCTTTATACAGTTTGAAGTATTATTGTGAGATAACATTGTACTGATAGGTTCTCCTTGATACTGCCAAAGTTGTTCCATTTTCAGTTGGAGCAACATAGACACCACTGCCTGTTAGTCCACAGACAGGGGAATATATCTTAGGTATTTTTTTATACTGATTACAAGAATAAATTCTCTTTTTAGTGGGAATTAAGTTTAAAAGAACCTGCTTTTGTCAGAAACATTCAGTATCAGCATCAAAACAAAGATGAATAAACAAAATAAATTAGATGTCTGGTAAAAGTTAGAATCTCTATTTCAAATATTAACATTACATTAGAAGAAATTAAAATGGGCATTCCAAAGTTAAACCACTTTATATGCTCACCTCTTTCTGATCAACCTGGAGTGCTGATTTTAAAATATCTCTAAGCTGTGTTAATTGTCTTCTTTCCTCATCTTGTGCTTGTTTAATCTTGAATGAAGAAAAACACAGGTTAAAAATAACGTTATCATTTCTTTTCAATGTAGTTCTTCCAAACTTCCTACTTAATTGGTTCATTTTTTTCTGAGAAATGTTCAGGAAGAATGAAAACACAAAGAGAAAAGATAACGTGATCAATTTATTTTCCTCTATATCTTCAGAAAAACTGATAATGGCTAGGATGTTACTGGGTTAAGACTCTGATAACGCCTCACACTGTCCTTGCTTCCTTGTGTTCAACTTGAAACAATATGTTATTTTCCACTTAATCAGTAAAGATTTTAGAGCAAAATCCACTTTCCTAACATTTTACACAGTGGGGTCCTGAACTAAGGCTTCTGGATATGATATTGGAACAAAATTTTACTCAAAAATATGTTCAAATCCTTAAAACAATGAATATTAAAACAGTCAGCCAACCTGAACCAAAAATTATCACAGTTCTACTGTAAAAAAGTAACTTTGCAACACAAATGTGAGATTGTTACTCACTGTATAGAGATCTGTCGAGAGTGTCTCAACTGAAGGCTTGAGACTTTCAACTGCTTTTAAACCATCCTGAAAGAAACTTAAAAATAAAAACAAAAAAACCCGTTATTAAACTTTACTTTGTATTTTTGGTTTTAAAAGTTGCCAAAGGAAGAGATGCATATTATTATGTCATACCATAAATTTCAAAACATTAAGCATTTTTTTAAAGCATCTTTGACTGATCACCTCTTTATTTCCATCATAGTTTATTCTAATATACAACATCCCCAATTAGGTTCACAACTGCCACAATCCACTGTCACATAAGTTTTCCTCCCTCTCACCTCTAGCACAGGTTCTCATCCCACTTTCTGAAGGCCCAGAACATGCAAAATTCATTTGCAGAACAGCAAAAGCTCTAGTAGATATAAAATAATTGTGACTTCTTGGAATCAAATAATGTCACATCTGATGCAAACCTTCTGCTACATGAAAACCTCTTTGTTTTCCAAGCATTAATTATGGCCTGTATGTAAACTGAATATGCTAAATCTTACTGTAGCATATGGATTTTTCTGTTGGCATAGAAATGTTATCTATGCAAAATATTTCAGCTTAAAAAAGGATAAAAATAAAAGTGGATATTTGAAAAATAGATTTAAAGAAACAGCAACTACACACACATTTGATTAAAAATTCCTGCACTGTTTGCACCGGAAAAAATTTTCAGTCCAGGAAGCAGACAAGAAAGTGACAGAGTAACACAGAACTTACGTCGTTGAAATCTTATTAAATAGACAGAGCAGGTGAATGATATACTACAAATTTAAACTGATTTAAAAAGCAGCATAGCTATATAGGGAAAAATCCTACATGGAAGCAGATCGGTCTTTTAAGATGAAAACTTACTGATTTGAATGGGTTAACAGCATCTCTTTCAACTGTACAGCTATGGCTTTATTGCTATATTATAGATCTGCAAGACTACCATTAAAAAGACATAATTCTAATGAGAGCTTTGTGTTTTATTACTGAGTACTTCAATTAATTAGATAAAGATTGAGTCTTTCAATGTAGCTTGTCCCACTGCCTTAGCAATTTATTTTTTTTGAGCACAGAATTAACTTAGATCACTGCTAGATATACTCGAAAGAACCCATCAGAACTAATGGATCACTAACTAACAGACCAAACTAACACATCTGTTTCCAGAGTAGTTTATGAAATATGCCAGATTACTGTGCAGCACTCCTTTGGAATAGACAATTACATTCCATGGGACTAGCTCAACCCCATTATATGTTTTGGAAATAGTAGCAAAAGCAACAACTAATCTATGACAAAAGCAATTTGTCAAAAAAGATAAGCAAGAACAGCTGAATCTTACATTTATTTTGAAAAATCTAGAAAAGTGTTATGATTATGTCAAAAGTTTAAAACAAAACACTGCTACCATTATCGTGTAGGTATTAAAGAAAACTAAAACATACTTGCACTGAGCATGAAAATACTTGATCAAGTTCTGAAGCAAGTCCACTCCTTTTTTAATCTTGATTTCATTGACTTTCAGCAGGTACTGTAAAAACAGTAATTCACAAATGATATGAATTATTACTGCTACCATAATTTGTTTACATTTTATTTTCAGTTATTTTCCAACAAGCTTTACCAGCTGCATATTTAGAAAACCTAAAAGAGAATGAACCGAGCAGTGGCTTAGTGGGTTAATCACACAACAGCAAATGTTGTCATGGCTGATTTTTGATACCCTGTGGGGATAATTCACTATGATTACTCCAAATTGCTAAAATATCCTTCATAGCTCCTAGTGGAAGCTTGTGCTAAAGGAAGCATAAAAGTATAGTAGGAAGCATAAAAGTATAGTAAATTTAGAAACCCATTCTTAAACCTAGCAGCCCATTCAGGTATCTATCTCACTAGTTGTTAAATTCATTGCTTAAATAAATGTCATTAAGGAAGAAAGCTGTTTACTCAAAATAGTGAGGAATAATTTTAACAGTTTTTAAAATCTGCCATTTTATTTTTTTTGTTTTCTCTATTAATTCCATATACACCATTATTACAGCAAATTATCCCTTAGTGGGAGATTTTCTAAAATCTACTGTCAGCTAAAAAATGGTGGAATTAGTGTCCTTTTGCATCAGGCACAATCAAAGTCCATATTAAGTGACAGCTTCTCCCCTGAACTCATGGCACAAAAGATGTCAGCCATGCAAGCAGACTTAAGATTGACCAAGAATTTACAGGAGTCCTGAACTGCCCAATAAATTGCAACAATTTTTAACCCCTGCTTAGACAGTGACCTCCAAGCTTAAGGATTACTGTCTTCTTAGCAATACTCTAATGCATCTGGTTTCCCTCTACCTGCACTACACCCTGAATTTTTTAAACCCACTTGAATAAAGCAGTATTCAAGTGCCAGCTTTCCATGTTGCAGCTTTTTAACTGGTTCAGGTGAAAAGATGATTAGCTAAAATGTAGACATGCACAGAATAGTATTTAGTTAGAAGAATCACCTCTCTAGCTCCTGTAAATTTAAAATGGAGCTCTAGGCATCTGGTATTCAGTTGACTTTTACAATTTATAGAAAACTAGCATGTATTTATGATACAACCTTAATATATCCCACTTCTGATTTATTAACAAAGCAGAAACAAAGTCTCCTTTTATGACAATTCAGAGGTAACCAAGTATAAACTTCTTTTCCCAGCGACACAGGAAGAGAGAAGCATCTGTTCCTGGTTGGTAGAAAGGACACATATGGGTAATTAGCTGGCAATATACATGTTTATTTGGTACTCAAGTCCCTTAATCAGTTTTGAATACTTCAGTCTGACTCCCTGTAGGAATGTGAAGCTTTTCTGCTAAGTATCAGTGTATGCAGTTACTAAAAGTGGTATTCAGGACAACTGCTGTTAAACTATTCTGGTGTATGAGTCGAATTACCTCTAATCATCCTAGTAAAAACAGAAGAAACACCCATAGTATGTTTTTTAGTTAATGCATAGAAAAATAACACAGCCACTTTCCCAACCATGGAACCTGACATGCCCTTAAATGAATCAAACAAAAAATATTCACATCACATTTAATAATCTGCAAAATAACAAAGACTTCAATGTAGAAACTTTCTGAATGATCCCGAAAGACAACTGAGTTCCACCCTTAGTGTCTTTATTTTTCAGCAGCAGCCCAACACTCCACACTGTAGGAGTCTCTCCTACAATAATGCAACAGCTGTCAGCCTAGGGAGCAATTCAGAGCATGATCTAGGGCTCAGAATAACTTATAGTGAAGCAGTAGAGTAAAAACTTATTTATTATGATCTCTTAGTGTCTAATTGAGCTTTGCATTATTTATTCTACAATTTACTTGTTAAGTGACATTAGAAAATAGCTAAATTCCCTGCAGAGTAAGCACATCAGGATTTAAAAAAAAATGTTTTAGCAAATGGAGTCCACTAATAACTTGGCATTTCCCTTAAACATTACAGTTGCCATTAAACAATTTTGTTTTTCAGAGTTTCCCTATTAACATAACAATATGAGTTTCACGATGAATCTTACCTCACACATCTGTAACTGGAAGAACCTTCTTTCTTTTTCCATCTCTTCTGCAATTTCAGCTCCACTTATTTCTGTACGGATCATCCCATGCAGCTTAGCATGCTCTTTTTTCTCCTTCTCTATTTTTGTACTGTAAGGCAAAGAATCAGTCAATGAAGTGAGAAATCCACAGCCTCTCAGGAAATCTGATTATTCACAAAATCTATTGACAGATGCAGAGCCAAACTCTTGTAGTTTTGCATATGACTTACTTCCAGATGACATTTCATTTGAAATTTGACAATGACTAAAGATCAGCAATGACATACAGTAGCTGAAATCTAATTCAATCATCTGTTAAAATAATGTCCTGACATATTCCAAAGGAAGATACTAAATGAGAGGAAAATACTAAGCTCTTGCATCGAAGAAAAAAATATCCAGGAACAAAATAATTCATTTTAATTTAAAATGTAGGAGGATGTTTAATCCCAACTGACCAAACAGAAGTTAACAGAGTTCAATTGTGTCACCAGATTTATTGAGTCTTGCCTGTCATCAAGTCAGCTTCTATATATACAGGGTTTCCTAAGCCAAAATCACAGTTGCCATCTCTACTTGCTACTGAGCCAGTTGGCATTGGGAATGCTGGCCAGCCAGCTATGATACAGACTTCCAAGTCTGCTACACCAGCTGTCCTAATTCCCTAAAAGTTTCCATTAACATTTTCCAAGAGTTCTGAATAAAATAGGTTTTCCTGCAGAATATAAATGAATAAGCAATGTCTGTCATACAGTTTAACTCCCCTAAACACATTTGTGCATTTGTTACAGTTATTATCCATATTGTTCCTAAAGGCAGTAGCATAATTACACTAGACAGTTAGACAAGCCTAAAATGAAGCAAGATATTAATGAAAGAAAATACATGAAGAAATTTACTTTTTTTGAGAGTTTTAGCTGTACCATTTAGAAGCCGAAAATTCTTTAAATAGCTTCCTGAGGAAATGCTACACTGCTTTTGTACAAGAGGAAGCATTACACAGGGATATAGGAAGCAGATGAGAAGAACAAAGAACACGGTCTGTCGTACCTCCTCTTGGGCAGTCAAGTGTCTCTCTGCTCGGTTTCTGAAAGATGATATGTCTCAAGTGCTCTCTTAACCTGATGTTAACATTAACCTAACAGCTTATGGGAAAATGTCCTAGATGGTCTAAGGACTTCCAGTCAACAATATATTCTGCACTTATACTTCTCAAGAGTGAGGAACCACCTCCTCTTACACCTCAAGCAGCAAGGGAAAACGAGAATTAAACCCATTAATCCCATCCTATAACATCCCCACAGGGAAACATTTTGAACAGCAGTTCAAAAAGCCCCACTGCACTCTCAGTACTGGCAGGCATAGCAGAGCTCAGCCCCTTGCAGTACTCCAGCAGCCAGCACATCCAGCCAGCACCACACTCATTCTCAGCCCATCCTCTCCTGCCAGCAGTAGACATGTACAGGGAGGCTCCACTTCTCTGAAATAAACATTCTGAAAACCTCCACTTGTCTGAATAAAAGCTCGATTCTATAATGTTCTGTTTTAATAAAAAAAATATCTGTATTCTCACCCACTTACTGTCAATTATGCCATTTTGTAGCTACCAAATATAGTGGCCAAACAAAAGAATTAACCTGACATCAACCATGAACAAAGAAGATAAACCATTACAAAAAGATTCACAGAAAATTACAAATACACAGCTACTTTCTAGCACATACTCTAGGAGAGTTTACATTACATCATACTTTATAGCTGTAAAAAAGTCAAACCTCAAAGCAAAGATCCAGGATGGTTTTAGTTCTCTCCATTTCCATAATCTAACAATTAATGATTCCAGAGAATTCACTGAAATGTGAGTAAATTGTAATAACTATCAATTGCTATTTTATTGTATTTTCACTGTTTACAGAAAATAATTGAACGCAGAATGACAATCACCTCTAAAATTTTAAGAGCTTATGAACATGCCATTAAGTGTTTCTAAATGCTAGTCAAGCCAAAAGACAACTAATATTGTCAAAGAGTTGAACATTATGCACAATATTACCATATACATTGTTTCAAGAATCAGAATTCCTTTTAAAGAAAGGGACAGATTTCAGTGAAAGAGTCCTTCCTACACTTTAAAGGATACATTACACTCCACAAGCAAAAAGTAGTTAAACCAAGACTAAAGCATACCAGCATCTACCAAGTAATTCAGAGAAATAAGACATCCTTGAAGCCATTTGCTGGAGCTTTGGGCTTCACCACTTCAAAAGCTTTAGAGTTGTTCTACAAAAAACCCAAAACATCTCTCCATGACCAGTACCAGAGATACATGATGGTGCATTTCATGTTTGCATTTCGTTCTTATTTATGGTTTTAGTACCTAACTATATTTTCAGTTTTGTAATCCAGAACTTAACCTGTTGTTTTCCAACAGAAATGTGTTACCTCCTATCTGATTTATACTACAGGGCACTTAATGCCTAAGGAAGCAAAAAACCCACACATAGCAGTGTTGCATGCCAATCTTCTGAGTGCTAAAGGCTGGCTGTGTTTCCTACCAAAATGCAAGGGTCAACTCAGCTTCAAGTGCCACTCTGCTGTGACATTAACCAAATCTTCCTGGCAAATACAGTTCTACACTGAGGGATTTCCAAATATTGCAGTGTATTCAGGTTTTCCAGGCAGACCAAATAAGCAAAATTCGTAAGAAAATTGGGAAAACAATAAAGCAGTAAGAAGGAAGCAAATGTGTTGTAAAGCTGTTGTTCTTGAAGCTCATGCAGCACATATCACACAAAAACTTTGCTAATCTGAGTACACTAATACATAGTGAGTGTTAATGGGCAAGTAAAGCTGAAATACAGGATGAAGAATCACAACAGAAAGGTCAGTCTTGCCAGTTCAGTTTCCACTAGGTGACTATTTTTACAGCTCATATTCAAAAAGCAACTGTTTTAAAATATAAATATTAATTTGTATTTCAAATAAATAGTCTCATACAGATCATGGTATAAATAAACAGCAAAGTAGGCATTTTTATTTTTTTAAACTTTAAAAAGGACAGGACCTAATTTACTGCTGAATATGCTGAAGACTGGTATTCATTTTCAGCAATTGAACAAGAGGAAACAACTAGAACACTCTGTGTGCATGCAGCAGCACTGAGCTGGCTGGCTGGGCAGCAACTCCATCTTTGTTCCTCTCCTTCCCCATATAGCCATAAACCAGGCTGAGTCTGGGTAAGTACATGAAAAGGTGCAGAGAATGGAAATAGCATCTGGAAGGCACGGACATGAATGGGGAGCACTCTGGAAAACTGAGTGCTTCCACAGGCTATTTTGTTTGACAAAATAATATTACATATTTTCATTTCAAATATTGTTTATCTAGTCTTCCTTTTTTAGTCAGATCTCCAACTTCACCTCTGGCATCCTAGCCTGTCAGTGAAAGAGCCCCCATCTTATTTTATCAAGGCTGACAGTAACACATGACCCACTCTCTCTTACCACCCTAGTCCTGAATGAAGTACTAATAATTTCCCTTTGGAAATACTGGAAGGCTTTTCCCTTTCTTCCATCCTGCGCTGGATAATGGGGGAGAAGAGGGCAGAATTAGCAAAATGTATCCAGATCTCTCCAGTATTTCATCCATAATATCTGCAGATCCATTCAAAGCTTTTTCCATTTCATTTGCAGAACATATATTTCATAACAAAAATACTGAATATGAAGTCTCAGGGTCAAAGCAGTATCCTCTGAATGTTGTTTACCTGGACTTTAGTAAAGTCTTTGACACTGTCTCCCACAGCATTGTCCTGGAGAAACTGGCTTGGATGGGCATACTCTTTGCTGGGTAAAAAACTGGCTGTCTGGCCAGGGCCAAGAAGTTGTAGTCAATGGAGTTAAATGGACTGCTGTCCCCCAGGGCTGAGTGTTGGGGCCAGTTCTGTTTAATACCTTAAGTAATGAACTGAATGAGGGGATCAAGTGCACCCTCAGTCAGTTTGCAGATGACACCAGGCTGAGTGGGAGTGTTGTTCTGCTTGAGGGTAGGAAAGCTCTACAAAGGGATCTGGACAGGCTAGATTAATGAGTATGAGGTTCAACAAGCCCAAGTGTTGGGTCATGCACTTGGGTCACAGCAACCCCAGGCAATGCTACTAGCGAGGGCAAGAGTGGCTGGAAAGCTGCCCAGAGGTGTTGGTCAACAGCCAGTTGAACATGAGCCAGCAGCATGCCCAAGTAGCCAAGAAGGCCAATGGCATCCTGACTTGTATCAGGAGTACTGTGCCCAGCAGAACTAGGAAGTGATAGTGCCCCTGTACTCAGCACTGGTGAGGCTGCAACTCAAGTTTTGCGTTCAGTTCTCAGCCCCTCACTACAAGAAGGTGCTGGAGTTCACTCAGAAAAGGGCAACAAGGCTGGTGAAGGTCCTACAGCACAAGTCTTAGGAGAGCAGCTGAGGGAATTAAGGGGAGACCTTATTGTTCTGTAAAACTACCTGAAAGGAAGTTGTAGTGAGGTGGGAGTTGGTCTCTTCTCCCAAGGAACAAAGTGAAAGGACGAGACAAAATGGCCTGAAGTTGCCCCAGGGGAGGTTTAGACTGGATATTAAGAAAAATTTCTTCACCAAAAGGGTTATCAAGCAAAGATATTTAAAAGACAGGTAGATGTGGTGCTTAGGGATATGGTTTAGTGATGGATTTGGCAGTGTTAGGTTTATGGTTGGACTTCATGATTCCAAAGGTCCTTTCCAACCTAAACGATTCTATTATTCTATTATTTGATTTTCTAATAAATCTCCACTTTGTCATATGTACATGCTTTAAAATGAAACGTGACAGAAATATCTACCATCTATGAATATCAATGATCTGCTGAGTGAAGTTGCAGCTCAGAAGAAGCAATTTGACAAAAGCTCGCAGAATTTTCTGATTATTTTTCTTTTAGATATAGTTTAAAATAAGAGTATACTAAGCAGTAAACATCGTCACTTAATCCAATAGCTATGCAAACATCTTTATAGAAGACTGTAATAACAACTTGTTCATTCTTCAGTGACTTCTAATGGTTTAGAAACAAATCATTAATGATAGTGTTGTAGCTAGGTATG